AGGTACGACAACGAAATAAAAATCTTTCATGATAAACAAAAGCTAAAAGAATTTGCAGCCAGAAAACCAGCATTGCAAAGCATCTTGAGCAAAACACTACACGAGGAAGAAATGAAAAACAATAACCAAAACCATCAGTGGGAAGTGCCTCTATAAAAACAGAGGGCGGGGGGAAAGCTAACCATGGAGAAACAAACTAAATTAAATTAAAAAAAAAGAAGATAAATAATCAAACATGGCTGGAAGTACAAACCATATATCAATAGTAACTCTAAACGTTAATGGCTTAAACTCTCCAATAAAGCGACATAGGCTGGTAACATGGATTAAAAAAACAAATCCAACAATATGCTGCCTCCAGGAGACACATCTGATTGCAAAAGACATACACAGGCTGAAGGTGAAAGGTTGGGAAAAAATATACCACGCACACGGTCCTCGTAAGCAAGCAGGGGTGGCCATCCTCATATTGAATAAAATCGACTTCAAGACTAAGTTAATCAAAAGGGATAAGGATGGACATTATATATTGTTAAAGGGAACCATTCACCAACAAGACATAACAATTATCAATATTTATGCAACAAATAATGGTGCTGCGACGTTCATAAAACAAATTCTCCTCAAGTTCAAGAATCAAATAGACCACAACACAATAATTATGGGTGACTTCAACACACTTCTCTCACCATTTGACAGATCCTCCAAACAAAAGTTGAATAAAGAAACTATAGAACTCAATATCACAATCAACAACCTAGACTTAACTGACATTATAGAATATATCAACCATCATCAAGTGGATATACTTTTTTCTCAGCAGCACATGGATCCTTCTGAAAAATAGACCATATATTATGCCATAGGGCAACCCTTAGTAAATATACAGGAGTGGAGATAATCCCATGCATTTTATCTGATCATAATGGAATGAAACTGGAAATCAATGATAAAAGAAGGAAGGAAAAATCCTACATCACATGGAAAGTGAACAATATGTTACTGAATGATCATTGGGTTACAGAAGACATAAAGGAGGAAATCAAAAAATTCTTATAGATAAATGAAAATACAGACACAACATATCGGAATCTATGGGACACAATGAAAGCAGTTTTAAGAGGGAAATTCATCACCTGGAGGTCATTCCTTAAAAAAAGGAAAAACCAACAAATAAATGAGCTCACACTTCATCTCAAAGCCCTAGAAAAGGAAGAGCAAAACAACAGTAAATGTAGCAGAAGGCAAGAAATAATTAAAATCAGAGCGGAAATCAATGAAATTGAAACAAAAGAAACTATTGAAAAAATTAACAAAACTAAAAGTTGGTTCCTTGAAAAAATAAATAAGATCGACAGACCCTTAGCCATGCTAACGAAGAGAAGAAGAGAGAGAACTCAAATCACTAACATACGGGATGAAAAAGGCAATATCAAAACAGACGCTACAGAAATACAGAAGACAATTAGAAATTATTTTGAAAACCTATATTCCAATAAAATAGAAGATAGTGAAGACATCGATAATTCCTTAAGTCATATGATTTGCCCAGACTGAGTCAGGAGGATACTCACAACTTAAACAGACCAATATCAATAGATGAAATAGAAGAAGCAATCAAAAGACTTCCAACCAAGAAAAGCCCAGGACCGGATGGGTATACAGAGGAGTTTTACAAAACCTTTAAGGAAGAATTAATACCAATACTTTTCAAGCTATTTCAGGAAATAGAAAAAGAGGGAGCTCTGCCAAATTCATTCTATGAGGCCAACATCACCCTGATTCCGAAACCAGACAAAGACACCTCAAAGAAAGAAAACTACAGACCAATATCTCTGATGAACCTAGATGCAAAAATCCTCAATAAAATTCTGGCGAATCGGATACAAAGGCACATCAAAAAAAATTGTGCACCATGATCAAGTAGGATTCATCCCTGGGATGCAAGGATGGTTCAATATACGGAAATCAATAAATGTTATTCACCACATCAATAGACTTAAAAATAAGAACCATATGATCATCTCAATAGACGCAGAAAAAGCATTCGACAAAGTACAGCATCCCTTTATGTTCAAAACATTAGAAAAACTAGGAATAACAGGAACTTACCTCGACATAGTAAAAGCTATCTATGCTAAGCCTCAGGCTAGCATCATTCTCAATGGAGAAAAATTGAAGGCATTCCCCCTAAAATCTGGAACAAGACAGGGATGTCCTCTATCACCACTTCTATTCAATATAGTTCTCAAAACACTGGCCAGAGCAATTAGACGAAAGAAATTAAAGGCATAAAAATAGGAAAAGAAGAACTTAAATTATCACTATTTGCGGATGACATGATTCTATACCTAGAACACCCAAAAGGGTCTACAAAAAAACTACTAGAACTAATGAATGAATTCAGCAAAGTGGCAGGATATAAAATCAACACGCATAAATCAAAGGCATTTCTGTATATCAGCGACAAAACTTCTGAAACGGAAATGAGGAAAAACACTCCATTCACAATATCCTCAAAAAAATAAAATACTTGGGAATCAACCTAACAAAAGAGGTGAAGGATTTATACAATGAAAACTACAAAACCCTAAAAAGAGAAGTAGAAGAAGATCTTAGAAGATGGAAAAATATACCCTGTTCATGGATAGGCAGAACTAACATCATCAAAATGGCGATATTACCAAAAGTTCTCTATAGATTTAATGCAGTGCCAATCAAAATCCCAACGGCATTTCTTGTAGAAATAGAGAAAGCAATCATGAAATTCATATGGAAAAATAAAAGACCCAGAATAGCAAAAGCAATTCTAATCAGGTGGTATAGCGATACCGGATTTAAAACTATATTACAGAGCAATAGTAACAAAAACAGCATGGTACTGGTACCAAAACAGGCGGGTGGACCAATGGTACAGAATAGAGGACACAGAGACTAATCCACAAAACTACAACTATCTTATATTTGATAAAGGAGCTAAAAGCATGCAATGGAGGAAGGATAGCATTTTCAACAAATGGTGTTGGGAAAACTGGAAATCCATATGCAACAAAATGAAACTGAATCCCCTCCTCTCGCCATGCACAAAAGTTAACTCAAAGTGGATCAAGGAGCTAGATATCAAATCAGAGACTCTACGTCTGATAGAAGAAAAAGTTGACTCCGATCTACATATTGTGGGGTTGGGCTCCAAATTCCTTAATAGGATACCCATAGCACAAAAGTTAATAACAAGAATCAACAAATGGGACTTACTTAAACTGAAAAGTTTTTTCTCAGCAAGAGAAACAATAAGAGAGGTAAATAGGGAGCCTACATCATGGGAACAAATGTTTACTCCTCACACTTCAGATAGAGCCCTAATATCCAGAGTATACAAAGAACTCAAAAAATTAAACAATAAGAAAACAAATAACCCAATCAACAAATGGGCCAAAGACCTGAACAGACACTTCTCAGGGGAGGACATACAATCAATCAACAAGTACATGAAAAAATGCTCACCATCACTAGCAGTCAGAGAAATGCAAATCAAAACCACCCTAAGATATCATCTCACTCCAGTAAGATTGGCAGCCATTATGAAGTCATACAACAACAAGTGCTGGAGAGGATGTGGGGAAAAGTGTACATTGCTGGTGGGACTGCAAACTGGTGCGTCCAATTTGGAAAGCAGTATGGAGATTCCTGGGAAAGCTGGGGATGGAACCACCATTTGACCCAGCTATTGCCCTTCTCGGACTATTCCCTGAAGACCTTAAAAGAGCGTACTACAGGGATGCTGCTACATCGATGTTCATAGCAGCACAATTCACAATCGCTAGACTGTGGAACCAACCCAGATGCCCTTCAATATATGAATGGATAAAAAAAATGTGGCATCTATACACAATGGAGTATTACGCAGCACTAAAAAATGACAAAATCATGGAATTTGCAGGGAAATGGATGGCACTAGAGCAGATTATGCTTAGTGAAGCTAGCCAATCCCTAAAAAACAAATACCAAATGTCTTCTTTGATATAATGAGAGCAACTAAGAACAAAGCAGGGAGGAAGAGCAGGAAGAAAAGATTAACATTAAACAGATACATGAGGTGGGAGGGAAAGGGAGAGAAAAGGGAAATTGCATGGTAATGGAGGGTGATCCTCATTGTTATACAAAATTACATATAAGAGGTTGTGAGGGGAATGGGAAAATAAACAAGGAGAGAAATGAATTACAGTAGATGAGGTAGAGAGAGAAGATGGGAGGGGAGGGGAGGGGAGTTAGTAGAGGATAGGAAAGGTAGCAGAATACAACAGTTACTAATAGGGCATTATGTAAAAATGTAGATGTGTAACCGACGTGATTCTGCAATCTGTATTTGGGGTAAAAATGGGAGTTCAAAACCCACTTGAATCAAATGTATGAAATATGATATGTCAAGAGCTTTGTACTGTTTTGAACAACCAATAATAAAAAAAAGAATCCATTGTCTTCCGTGCCTTTCAGATCTTTTAAAAGCCCCCCAATTTGCATGAAAGAAAAATTTTAAAGGACACAATTTTTTAAAGTAAAAAATTTAAGCAAAGCTTTGGCAATGTTATGGTTTTCATTGACTAAAAATAGTTTAATGCTTAAAGTTCATGCCAAAAACCGTCTTATATTTCCCATCATGTACAAACCATAAGTATGGGATCCTAGGTATAATAAGTTATACTCCATGTATGTATGTCAAGTATAATCTATTGTCATGTTTATCTAAAAAGAACAAATTAAAAAAAGGAAAATGGAAAGTAACTACAAATTATGTAGTAAAAATCCAAATGATTTTATGTTAATTCAGCTCAGTTATACCATTGCAGAGTATCACTGCAAAAGATCTTTAATCAATTAGATGTACTTATTTTCCTATTTGCAGTAATTTAACATTTGAATTAAGCATATTGAAAAATGCAGCAGATATATTCTGATTTTATCAAAAATAATGTCTCTGTATATTGTGGCTATAATTCTAGGCAGTATGAAACTGTGGTTCCACTCGAAGATTCCATTGTGACTGAGGTTACAGCAACTCTTCAAGAATGGGCCAGTCTGTGGAAACAACTATATGTTGTAAGTATTTGTTTATAGTTTACTGTAGCATTAAAATTCTTTTGTACCAAGTAAATATATCTTCTAACCTAACCCAATCTACTGGTTGAAATTTTTTAATATTTTCAAATGTATATTCCTAATATTAACCAAAACATAGTAGACTAGGTTTTTTCCAACCTGAAGAGAACATATTCATACGTCTGTAGTCTCTCTACCCTACTTTAGTCACTAGAATGTAATTTTCATAGCATTAAGAATCTTAGCTATCTTATGGTTTTCTGTGTGCTACATGCTTTTATAAAAATGAATAAACAATGCATGAGAAGAGTTTAACTTTTATTGTTTGTGATCCTAATAGTGACTAATGACCAGGGAATTGTATGTAGTAATTTCTTACAACTACTAAGCCTAGAGGATATACCATATATAACATTTTGTTAGGCTAACAATTATTTGAAAATATAAAAGAAATGAAATAAAGACCAAGTATTATAAAAATCCTCTATGAACTTAAGAAAGTTGAAGATGATAAAATATCAAATAATTATAATATCTGCACTAAAAATAAATAACAGTATTTGAGTTCTGAATGAGATAGCCATTTACATTCCGCTTAAGGTCTGGCTGGGTTCTATATATGATGCAGTACACATATTCCAATTTAGTTCTTTTACTAATTATAGCATCTAGGCAAACTACCTACCAGAAAACTTCAAAAATTAGTGAAAAGAAGGTAGACAGGCTAGGCACACTGAAAGCATAATTCACAAAAGAACAGCTTTATAAAATGGACTTATAAAGACTACCATCTTTTGCTCTCTGAATGACCCTATTAAGAGGATGAAAAGATAAGACTATAGACTGGAAGAAAATATGTATAAGTCACATATTCCTCAAAAGGCTTATATCTAGAACATATAAAGAAGTCCCTAAACTGAATTATAATAAAGTAATTTGGTTAGAAAATGAGCAAATGACTTGAATAGATATTTCATTAAGGAGGATACAGGCAGCCAGTAAGCATGTGAAAAAGATTTCCATGTGGTTACTCAGTCATTCATTAAATGTATTCATTATAGTAATACAAATGAATACTACAATGCTAATGTTCTATTTAAAATATAAATGTTAGCACTTTTCTATGTAATTTCAAGTCTAATCAGTAATTAACAACTTCTTGAGTTCATATGATTCTTAAATCATAATAATTATATAAATAGGAACTATACTCATTTTCCTAATATACTCTTTAATTTTTCTTTACTATTCAAGAAAATAAATCAAACAGATATGATTAATAGGGGATAGATCTTTGATGGAGAGTAATATAATTCATATAATTCTTACATTAACTCATTAAAAACAATAAGATTTATAAGATATTAATTTCATATTGATGATAATAGTATTACTATTACCGTCATGTGGTGTTTAATGATGGGGAAAAATTCTGAGAAATGCTTCATTAGGTGATTTTACTGTTGTGCAGACATCACAAAGTGCTTATGCAAACTAAGATGGCTGACGTGGGCCACCATTATATATGTAGTCTGTTGTTAACTGAAACACATGAATGTAATTAACATATGCTTACTTTGTGCCCATTTGTCATATTTTACATTCATTGTTTTGTTTTAATTGTCATCACAATTATTATCCTTTTCAGATTACAGATTGGAAACTGAAACTTAAAAAGGATAAGGAATATATCCAAAGTCATATAAGCAGTGAGTGTACATCAAGAACCCAAACCATTAAACTCATTAAACTCCAGGGCTTTAATAAAGGCATTATTTTATCTTTTGGATTATTCTTTTAATATCTCACATTTAGTTTTAGTAGCTGCCTATTACTGTCTTATGATAGGAAATTGATTATCTGTAAGTGGCATTCTTTACCCTAGATAGAAATAATGCCTCTTTAAACAGATATTTTTTTCTTTTTCAATTAAGAATACACAGTCTGAGTTTAGTATGGCAGGTCTACAGTTATCAATGACTCAGGCTCATTGATTCTCAATACAGGAGCTAAAAATACACACACACACAAACACACACACACATCAGAGAAAAGAGCTTTTTCAACAAATGGAGCTGGAAAATTGAACATCAACCTGTAAAAGATTGAAACTAGATCCCCATCTCTTACCCTATACAAAGTTCAACTGAAAATAGATTGAAGACCTCAGTGTAAGACCTGAAATTACTAGAGGAAAATGTAAGAGAAACACTTCAGATACTGATATAGGCAGTGATTTCCTGAATGGGATTCTAGTCGCTCAGTAATTAATAACAAGAATTGCCTAATGAGATTATATCAAATTAAAACACTTCTTTACAACAAAGGAAGAAGAGTGTAGAGATAGCCTAGAAATGGGAGAAAATCTATTCCAGTTATTCATCTGACCAAGGATTAATATCCAGAATGTATAAAGAACTTGAAACATAATACCAAAATAATAAGTGATCCAATCAGTAAATGGCAAATGAGCTGAAGAGACATTTCTGAAAAGAAGTAAAGATATTCAACAAATATATGAAAAAATGTTCCTTACCATTAGTCATTAGCGAAATGCAAATCAAAACTACAATGGCCACAATTAGAATGGCCATTACCAAGAAAACAAAAATTAGCAAATATTGGCAAAGATTCAGGGGAATAGGAACCCTCATACACTCTTGGTAGGAATGTAAACTAATACAGCCACAATAGAAAACAGTATTGAGGTTTCTTAAAAAACTAAACCAGAATTGCCATATGATCATGCTATGCCACTAATAGGTATATATCTGAAGACAGCAAAGCCAGCATACAGTAGAGATACCTGCATACACATGTTTATCATGCAACTATTCATTATAGCCTATAAAATCAGCCTAGATACTCATCAATGTATAAAGGGATAAAGAAAATGTAGAATATATACACAATTATTATTTCGCAATAAAGAAAAATGAAATTATGTTATTTGCAGGATAATGTTTGTAACTGAAGATCATCATGTTAAACAAAATAAGCCAGCTCAGAAAAAAAAATATCATATTTCTTTCATATATAGAATCTTTAACAATAATAACAAAACCCATGACATGAAAGTAGAAGAGAAACTTTTAGGAAAGGGAGAATAGGGGAGGGTGGATATGGTCAAAATTCATCATATGCATGTATGGAAATTGTCACAATGAAACCCATTTACTATGCAATTAATATATATTAGTAGTTAAATACATTAAAAAAAACAAGCACTTGGGCTTATTTTGTCCTCCTGCTTTATTGTCCTCTTTATTATACTTCAGCCTGGTGGTCCCAGATGGCTAATACTATACAGCATATCTATAGTCTGGCTTGTAGAATGAAAGAAAGAAAGAAAAAAAAGGAATCTGCCTTTAAAAAAAAAAAAAAGAATACTTCTTAAAAGTTGTGGAAAACATTCCCTGCTTACTGCATATTGGTTAAAATTGAAATCACAAAGTAATCTCTAGATTAAACAGGCTGAGAACTGGTCTTTATTCCAAATGACCATATATTAGCCAAATATCATGGTTTCTATTACTATGGAAAAAGAGGAAAATGAATAATGAGGAATCACCTACAAGAACACCATAGTGATGATGACTCTTGTTTCCATATAAAGCTCTAATGAACTTCCTTTGCTAAATCTGTTTAAGAAATAGTGGAATTCACCAGCCCATAGAATATTTTATTTATATGGAACAATGAATTTTAGGTAAAACATAGAAAAGTGATAAAGGTATTGTATTGTTAATAATCAGTAGATTCACCTAAGCTTTCCTTTACATTTTTTTCACAATTTGATATGCATTTGTGAGGATAAATATATGTGCATAAAAGTTAAAATGGTACCAACATGATATCTTCTGTTAGAGTAGATAACAATAAAAAATGTTTTGAATAAATCAGAGCTGCTATTTGATGTAATAGTTTTGAAAATTTAACCTTTGAAAAATCTTCTAGGTGTGCATTCACACCTGATACACTTGTTTTTCCAGACATGGTGGGGGTGGGCGTGGACATGAAAGGGGAGATAATTGAAAAGAAGATGGTTTCAAACAATAATTTTTATACTTTTTCTCAGAATTTTTTTGTATGTATGTGGTCTTGGGGATTAAGCCCAGGGACATACTACCACTGAGCTCTATCCCCAGCCCTTTTATAAATTTTGATATATGATTAGCCAAGTCTGACTTCAAACTTGTGATCCTGTTGCCTCAGCCTCCTGATTCATTGGGATTATAGGCAAGTGCCATGAAGCCAGCTAAAAGAAGTTTGAAATTGCTAATATGTCTAGACATTTTTCAGTTTTATGAATAAGATCTTGTTGCTTTTTTTTTTCATTTCAACAGCAGTGTTGCTTGTTAGTTTTAGCCTACTGTTTACATGACAAATGTCAAATGATTGTTTTCATTCTGTTATGCACATGGGAGGTCAGATACATAGCCAACTAGATTTTAAAATGTGAATTCATTCTAGTGTTTAATTCTAGTAAAAAGTCATAACTCTTAAGCAGGTTTTCAAACTTCATGGGACAGAATACAAAAAACTACCAAGCAGGCACAGTTTAAATGCGTTAGTATAAGACTTAATCCAAATAAACAAAAGTCATATTCAAATTTGTCTTTCTACTGGAATAGAAGAATCTGTTATATTACTAAAATTAGGCAGGAAACTCAACAGTTCTCCCTTTGTTTTCCCTACTTAATTCCAAACCTCATAGTTGTTTCTTAATCTAAGTTTACTAAGAGGCAGTTAATTACCTGGCTATCAGCAAGAAGAAGTACTAATGTTTAACCAGAATGAATCTAGCCAATAGCCTCTCAATACTAATTTGTCTGACTTTGAAAACACAAGGAAAATATAAATAAATGATAAATGGTAAAGTATGAGAAATAAGTCTTAAGTTTATGACTATAAAGATGGATTTCTTTCTATAGAAAGAATGTATAAAAATTAGTAAGAAAACCAGTGAAGACCCCAATACATAATCAGTAAAAACAAAA